ACCTTACACACACGCAGCCCCCCTTACACACAATGCCACCCATAAACACACATAGCACCCAATACACACACTGCCCCCTTATACACACTGCCCCAATACACACACTGCCCCCCTTAAACACATAGCCCCAATACACACACAGCCCCCCATACACACACACAGTGCCACTCACACACAAACACACTGCACCCTTTACACACAAACACACTGCTCCCAATATACAAATTGCTACACCATACATACACTGCTCTCCTCTCACACATTCACTACCCCTCCTTACACATACTGCAACCCTCACACACACTGCACCACTCACACACACACACACACACTACAGCCACTATCCCAGCAGTCCCTGGGTAAGTTATCAAACGTTTTTTAAATGGTTTGACTACTTACTCTGGGAGGGCACCACAGCAAATCCTGGCACCAAAACCACTACAGAGAGCTGTAGTGGTTATTGTGCCTGGATTGTTTCTTAAAATGATCTGCCATTGCCCCTCCCAGGATTAGCTTCTGCATTTTCCACTGGTCCAGGGTTAGCCATAGCCCTTATTTCTGTATGCCCATACCTGGTTCAAGTGTCTGTATTTTTGCGAATTCTGTTCTATTGAAATGTGAATAATGTAAATATGTATATTATTGTCTCAGCATTGGGTGGTATATTGGGGCTATCACATAAATATATATATATATATATATATATATATATATATATACACACACACAGTATTTTTTGTACCACGTCTAGTGACTGGTGTTCAAGTATTTGTGGACGAAAAGAAAACATGTCCATTCCTTGTGTGAATATAAGGTAATTGTCCAATATTCTAGGTGCAAATGCATGTGCCTGCATCATTCATTCTCCTTATTAAAGTATTTCCCTTTGATACTTTCCAGCATTTATCATCTGTATTATGTGCAAGTCGGTATTCACAACTTTAGAGATAGCTTATAGGCATCTCACCAGGTTTATAGACCTGGATACCATGTGCTTGTTAATATAATTGTGCTATACTACCCCACCAGTGCAATGTACAACAACACCATTTTGTTATTATTCTACATTTTTTGTGGATTTTTATCAAATTGTTTGTGTGGTTGTTTTACCTTTAGTAACCATGGCAACATTCAGGGGAGTGTCCCGTCATCATACTTGGACGGAGCCCGGTGCTCAGGCGGACCAGGTCGCACCAAGGATGGGTTTTGCCGCCAGATGTGGTGAATTTATGATTCATCTTTTGTTATTTATTGGATACTGTGTGTATTTTGAGCTTATCCTGATGAATGTCTGCTTCGTCAGACTGAAATGTTGATTTTTTATTTTGTAATCAAATAAAAGTTATATTTTATTGCAAAGAAGACCTGAGAGTGCTACATCATCATCTTATATATATATATATATATATATATATGTGTGTGTGTGTGTGTGTGTGTGTGTGTGTGTGTGTGTAAAATTATCTATGAAATGGGCATCCTGAAATACAGTTCTATTATGTTTTTGCATGTTCATAAGGATTTGAGAAATTCCCGGGATGAGTTATCTATTCAGGAACTGAATCACTTTCAGCAGCTCTATCCAAGTATGTAAACCTTTTCTGTAACAGCTGGAAGCCTTGCTTAAATCATACCTCTGAGAATTGATAGATACATTAAAAGTTATAAATGTTATTTCATGGGAAGTTGATTTTATTTTGAAAACCTGTGAACTACCAGCTCTCTACACCTGCATCCCACATTAAAAAAAACATATAAAATATTTATCAGCATACAATGATTTGATACTATATGCAAAGATATATTTACTATTTACAATTGTTCTCACAATCATATTTGTTTATTTTTATAGTAGCATTAAAAAATATTTATGGAAGCCAAGCTGGGCTCATCCTGGTCTAACCAACACATTAATCTCTGCCAAAATCTTTTAATTTGACTACCCGTGAATTTCAAACTTTTTTTATTTTAGGAATTAATATGATAGATATTTGTTCAAACTGAAAACCAGCTATGGTGCATTGTATTACATAATACTTTGAGATTAAAGTGGATCAGCTCCAAAAAAAAAAAGTAAAAAAAGCATGATGCATTATTGCACACTCTTTCTTTGATTACAACAGAGTTGTTCTAGCGAAGAAATCCTCCAATTGAAATTCTGCAACAAGAAATCAGGTATTTCATTTTAACAAACAATTCTGCATACAATATTTAAAAAATGGAAAGACACAGGTAGAGTTTACTTTAAAAAAAGACAATTCTCTAATTCTTAAGCAAAGTACATTAGCAGGAATGGGTTGCAAGTTTCCAAGCTGATCTAAAAGTTTACTCTTTAAGCAAAACTGCCACTAACATGATTATTGTTCCTAAATCCCTCCCCTATCTAAATACTAGTGAAGTACTTAATTGGGCATGTAATGTAACACTTCCATATCCAGGGAGAGTTTATTACCTCTCAGTGTCCTGGAGAGCTTATGTAGCTACAATACCTGCATAGGACAAATATGAATGCATACTTGTCATTCCTTAATAAAGCCATGCATATGTACATATGGCTCCATTTAGGTTAAAGGATTGCTCCAAGAGCCATGGCCAAGTAAATGCCATGAAGTGGTCTTCGTGCAAGGACCCCAATATTCATTGTTTTAGTGTAAAATGCTTTACATATTGAAAAATTTAGAATATCTGTCAAAGGTATAACCACCTCCTGCAGCATGATTAGTAAACCAGGAATTAGATATGACTGAAAGGTAAATCTGCTACTCTGGTGACTCGATCCCTCTGGTCACTATTCTCCAACCCTCGATTGTCAGCTGAATATTCAGGGAAGATTTTTATGGAAGCGTATTAACCAGACACACACTCTTTGCTTTCCAAAATCTTCAAATGTATTATAAAAAGGATGGCATATTTATACAGTATTGGTTATGAACTTTGACATACATTGGTCAAAATGTGCTTACAAAAGATAAATGTTGCTAAAATCGGAAATAGCTGATCTTGCAAATGACCACATTTCTTGTGGTCAAGCATGTCTTATTCTGCATGATACTTTTCTCGGAAGCATCAGGTCAACGTTAGTTTGCGGATGCGTCTGTTAATTGAAAAGCAGAAGCGATAAATAAAAAATAACCTGTGGTTTGTCTAGTTTTCAGCTCTTGTGTAAATCTCAGGAAAGAGAATATAATATGAGAAATTATAGATGAGAATCATTAACCCCTTCCCTTCATTCCCCTCTTTGAGCAAGACCTTGCTCATACCCCATTTAAGGAGTCCTGGTCAGACAACCAGCCATCTGCCATGGTATATTCAGGATTGCTAGCCAATCCTGCAGGTCTTTCATTATGTTTTCGGCCACTATTCCCATAGCATAGGACTAGGCATCTGACCAGTACCACAAACTTATAGATCTGGATCAGCATGTTCACCATTGCTTCGGTTATGTGTATACATTTGGAGATACTCATCATAGCAAGCTGGGGATTTTACAGGAACAGTGTTGCGTGTATGTTTGTAAATGCAGAATACAATAATCTTGAAAATAGCATAAACAAGTAGAGCAAGGATCAGAACCATAACAATAATCATTGCAATATTCTTTAGCCAGTCTAGGATACTGTCAAACTTAAACATATCTGCCCATGGGTGATCAATACCTGAATTTCTCTTCATTTCTATGGACAGGTCTTCCAATTTCTTTATAGCTAGAGTTACTTTACCATTAGGGCCAGTGTTCTCTAGAATATAGGTACAACAAACACCGGAGTCAAGTAATTTACAGACTCCTCCCTTTTCTGCTAATATCATATCAAGGGCCATTCTATTCTGGAAAGTCATTTGTGAGGTAGCCTGTAATTGTTCAGCAAGACCTTGTAATGCATCTCGTGTATAATTTACAAATCTTTGCTGATTATAATATATATAATTAATCCAGTTAACATTCTTGTTAGTTGTTATAATGGGAAATATTGATTCAAATCCTGCTGCTACCTCGTCTCTAGCTTTAAATTCATTAGGGACCCCTCTTGGAATACCAATGGCATCTAGATAGATATGTGGGTCAAAACTACCTTGTGGGGATTCCCTTTTCCTTCTTGTGGAATAAGTTACAACCTTAATTTCAGGGAGAGAGTCGCCAAATATATTGAGGGGCATGATTATTTTGGCTGGGGCACATTCTTCTCTCCAGGGGGTGGGGCGTCTAGAACGTATTTTCATATCTCCACATATTCAATAAACATCTCCCACAGATTGTGTTTGATTCACTAAGGTAATATTACTGTAGGCGGAGCAGAATCCTGAAGAAAAATTACCAGGGTATACTGAGACAACATCATTTAATTTAAACTTGGGTTCACCAATAGGGTGACCCTTTTTCCATTCTTCACATCCTGTAGTATAAACAGTGGTACCTGAAAACAAACTTAGGAAGCATTCCCAGTACTCATCAGGGACATGTAAAGGTACAGTTCCTAGATGAGGTCTGGCACTACCACATAGTTTGACCTGTTATTGGAGTGGGCATTATATCTCATCCATTCTAGCCATAGGTTTGTATCTGTATACCCTGTTTCTAGCGCTACAGTATCTTCAAACGTGGGATCTGTTATGGCCATCATATCACCACAGGTTTGAATGTGGGGCTTTAGAGGATTAACAAGAGTTTGTCTAGAGGTGAGGCTTTCCCTCGATTACCTCCAATACCTCCTCTTAAAAAGGTACTGAGATTTAAGGTAAATTTCATGGAGTGCCCAGTTTGCCCTATAGGGGTACTTTGTTAGGGTCATTCTAGTCAAGAGGGACTTCCCATTCTTATCCTTTTTATCTAATGCATTCTGTGGCCCCAATCTGTCCCGGTGTTCCATCCAACTGAGCCCCAATAATCACAATTGTTACCCCTCTTTGAGCAATATATATTGCTCATATCATCGGTTAACATTCTCCCAAGACAGAGAAATTTCCACATTATGGCATTCCCAAGCAATCATGTGGTCTACAAGAAACAGAAACTCAGCAGAAAAAAAAACAAAACAAAAACCACTTAATACTTTTGCAGACAGATATATAGAAAATGGATGTTTAAGACAGAATGGAACTTGGGCTTATAGCAACTATATTATTGCACAACCAGGACCTTGCGTCCTATATCTTTTAACCATTTCCCTATTCCAAAAGTCCAGTCAAAACCAGTCATATCCTCACGCAGTTCCTCAAAACATGGGAATCCATCCTTGGCACACTCAACATATATAAAAACACACATAGTACATCCATCCCTGGGTCAGCTAACACTTCCTCTCTCTCTGGCTAACTCTACAAAAATAAAAATAAAAATAGTTCAATAGTTCAGCATAGTTCAGAAAAATAGAATAAGTCTTTCACAGAGTATAAAGAAATTAGTTTAGACACCAGACATTTTGTTCTATAAAATGGATAAGGGTAGGAATATGGCTGACAACAAGACAATGTCAGCTTCCACATAGTTCTTAGTTCTTCTTTTGTTTGCTGGATTTTCACCACAAAGCTCTGTGCAACACCCCAATGGTTGAAAGGGTTATTACAGAACCAGCGGCATTAGACAGCACTGCACCTTCAGGACTTTCCAGGTTCTTGCGTGCAAAGTTTATGTCCTCGTAAATAAGTATCTCAGTTTCTTCGGCCTGCATGGATAATGACCAAACAGATGTAATTGCAAAATACTTATTGCATGGTCAGCCAGAGAGATTGGTGTGTAGTCCCAGAAATCAGGCGGCACAAACACTCCAGGACGGTCTCTACAATCATACAAACATAAGAATCAATACAACATGAATTAATTACCTAGGCTAAAACTTAAATTAGAGATTAAGGTTAAACCCTTAATTTGTGTAACATGTACTTCTCTTATATTTTATGCAATCTGTCTTCTATGAAGTTTTACATAATACCCCTTTGGAATGCCTTTGTACGGATGAGAGTAGCACTCACTCTATAGAAATCCTTGTTAGGATGAATTTTAAAACACTAACATATACATATGGGGATAATTCCCAATAAAACTCTGTTCCTAAACTGGAACCTTGATTTGATATTCAAAATTAATTACTTTAATAATCCCGAATAATTCAATACTCTTGGATTAACACCTTAAACTATATAAAATATTACAAACCTGAACCACCTGTGTATTAGGCTGGGGTTGGTTGGAAGCTATGGTTGGTATTGAGGAATATGTGGGGGTGGGTTTGGGCACTCATTTTTCCAGTGACCCTGCTATCCACAATTAGAACAGTGTGTTCCACCAATGCTGAAGTTGTTACCTCTACAAAAGTTAGACCCTTTGACCAAATCCTCTACCTCTGCCTTTATTCCATATGCAGGATGGGATTACCTAACTCACACCCCCTCTTTGTGTACCACACAGATATAATATTAATAAGCTTTTAAAGGTTGAATGGATAGTTAAATTTTGTATATAAAGCAAGGTTGTCTAGGGGTATATACATATAGGCATAGCCTTCATATAGGGCTTGCAATACTGACAGTCTGTGTCATGAGCGTAATGCAGACATGCGGTTAGGTACTTTTCCATTATTATAATATATTGAAAACACTAAGACCTTGCAAATTTTCAAAACGCATATAGCTTCCTGTACCTGGTGCCGTGCAAGGATGTAGTTGGGACTTATTTCAAATTGAGTATAAAAAGTCTAACCACAAAACTAAATGTTATACGCTTATCAAGAAAACAAGTTTAACCCGTTAGTGCATACTTTGGATAGCCTCTTTGCATAATTTGGCTCCTAGTGAGATTATTATATTATTTATTAATACTCTTCTGGATCTGCAAAATGCTTTCAATTTACCCATACAAATATAATACAGTAGTTTAGGAGATTAAAATTACCTCACTTATAAATTTCAGAAATTGTCTAATCTCTATTAAAAATACCATGTTATTATTACCCCATAATCAATGAGGCATACTAGATGAATCTTACTTTGACACAAACATTGCAATATACTTTAAAAGTAGAGTTAACTCTGAGATGGACAATACTCCCCTATTAGAACTCCTTTATGAGGGAGAAACATCTTGTCCATTCAATCCTTTTTATCCTTTTTAAAAGAATGACTTCAGGATTAATCAATTTGCAAATGTAAACGTGGACCCACGATTTGAACAGCAGAAGTTTGCGGGGCCCCTTTCACGTGGGATGTAACAAGCGCTTTTCTTGCTCCAGGAGCGATAGCATACAATTGTTTCATTCTAGCCGGCTGGACAGCATTTCACCTTTTGTAAAAACACTAAATGCTTGCGTTAATGATATGCAAATCACTCTGATAGTTAAACTCCTACACAATGGACAATAAAATACATAAAACACATAACACACCAATTCATTTCAAACCATATAACTCATACTCAGCATCCAATGTAATATTACATGTCATCTCACAAAACAGACATCTCACAAAACAGACGTAGCAGAAAACACATAATGGATACCCAGCAGATATGCCAATACAGAAAACACATTCTTGGGCACGCAACTACACTCTCTGTGTCTCTCCTAGGAAACACGGGTAGACACAATATGAAAGCAGTCTTAAACTAACACCTCCAAATCTCCATTCCCATATAGCTATATCAGAACACAACACAGAGCCTGATGGAACTACTCCAACTCCTCTTGGCCAAAATGCTAGTAGTCAACAGCTAATAAAACAGTTATTTGCTAGGTTATTTGACTGGCATTTTTATCAGTATCACTAGACTGAGACAAACTGATTCAAATATAATTTAAAACAACACAGCAACATATAAATTAAACCACTTTCCAGTTAAGCTGCAAACTTCACACATTATCACAGTCACCATTTACACAGAATAAACAGTTAACAGCTGTACTCAGAACATATTATTGTAAGGTATACCAATTTTAGTTTATATTAGATTTATTTTAGGGATTCTTATGTATACTTTTTATTTATTTATTTATTTTAATTCTTATTAACTTCATTACTTTAATCTACTATAGTATTGTATATAGAGAAAGGATCCATTTATATAGCGCGCTCATAACTCAAATATTTGTATGAAACTTCCATTAACTAACCTGAGATGATACTGCATCAACTTAAATCTTATAGAAATTGAGCATACATTTGGACCAGATTACACAGACATGGTTTCACCAGAATCTTACAGAACTCTCAGAGACTTAAAATTTTTTATTGACCGGTCAGTCTCCAAGAGCCTTAGTAACACAGGTAAAAACCTTTGTCCATTATCTCTGATCCAGGCTATATACCACAATTTAAAAGAACATAACACATATAATGTTAGACACAGAAGACACAAAACATATGCAGTAGTTATTACACTGGATCATTTAAAAGGAATCTGTTGCAATAAAAAAGGTTAGTTTACAGCGCAAAATGAAGCACGTGTTGGACCGCTGAAAATGTAAATGTTGCTCTTATTTACAAACAAAAATCATATTTACAGTATGGATCCTCTGCAAGAAACACACAGGGCATGGAAGATGTGCTGATTGGTGTTCTATACAATTAATCCCATATGTGGAATTAACTTTCAAATACTAATGAAGTGACTTTTTGTCTCAGTTCTAAAAATACTGAGCTCATCATGCAAACAATGCAACACACTTACACTATCCCACTCTCATAGAAAGTGTAGTGGGCTTATGGTATTAAAGTAACAATCATACCAGGCACACAGATCCCATGTGAAATAACTTGCAATAAAGCAGAGTAATAAACTTATACTTCTATGCGACAGAAAGAATAAAGCAAAAGATTTAAGTAGGTCTATCAGGCAAAACCTGCGAGCCAGTTCTTTTCTAATATACAGTACTGCTATCATATATATATGTATATATATTGGTCACTCAGGACCAGAACTTACATTTCCCATACTGCTGACTCAGGGTGGACACACTACTAACTTACCAAAGTGTGTCCCCAATATAGACAATCACCCAATTGATGGAGAATCATTGTTTGCAATAAAGACATGGACACTACAAATGTGCTTTAACAAGATTCTCAGTGAGTATATTTTCAGGGTTAGCATATAAAACAAAAAGAGTTTAACTATTTCATATCCTTACAGTCAGTACTAATGATTATAAACCTTGTTTAAGCATAAAATACATATGAACAAGAAAAATTAACTACTTCATATTCTTGCATGGTAATTTCCCATTCCTAGGACAAATCTTTCAAACACTTAGTCACACTCACAACCAGACTTAACTAATGACAATTAGAGGGTGGACAAGGTGAACCTGAAACTCTGTGCACACTATCGTAGTATATTCACTTATATACTAAATTCTCTGTCTATATCACTTTATAGACTTCCTTTTATCTGTCTAATTCTCTTATTAGACCTTCTCTAGTTCACTTACTAGAAATACATATCTCTCTGTCTAGTTCCCTTACTAGACTAATTTAACGGGACCTTATGTAAAACTGAGTCACATAAAACACATATACTAAATAACCTTTCCTAAAATGATGTAGACTTACAAAACCATGGGGATCATAGATTCAGGGCGTCAAGATAGACACAAGGAATTACTACTTACCCAAAATGGTTTTGGCTACAATCCCACTTTCTGACACCAAGCTGAAAGGTAAATCTGCTACTCTGGTGACTCGATCCCTCTGGTCACTATTCTCCAACCCTCGATTGTCAGCTGAATATTCAGGGAAGATTTTTATGGAAGCGTATTAACCAGACACACACTCTTTGCTTTCCAAAATCTTCAAATGTATTATAAAAAGGATGGCATATTTATACAGTATTGGTTATGAACTTTGACATACATTGGTCAAAATGTGCTTACAAAAGATAAATGTTGCTAAAATCGGAAATAGCTGATCTTGCAAATGACCACATTTCTTGTGGTCAAGCATGTCTTATTCTGCATGATACTTTTCTCGGAAGCATCAGGTCAACGTTAGTTTGCGGATGCGTCTGTTAATTGAAAAGCAGAAGCGATAAATCAAAAATAACCTGTGGTTTGTCTAGTTTTCAGCTCTTGTGTAAATCTCAGGAAAGAGAATATAATATGAGAAATTATAGATGAGAATCATTAACCCCTTCCCTTCAATGACTAATGCCAATTCTCTGCATTTTCCTTACAGAGACTTTCATTTATTGGTTGAAAGTGATCAATGGATATTTTCAGCCAATGAATGGCTGACAGGATCTGCATCTGGTTTCTGCTGCACCGTAGATGCTGGATGCAGTTCACCTAGTATTAGGGAAGGCTCAGCAGAACTCAAGCTAGTGACAAACCATTGCAAAAGGTATGCAATATAAATTAAAGAAAAAAAGACTGTGCAGAATTGAAAAGTAGTTAGACAACCAATGACAACAGATGACATTCTAACTTTAAAGAAACACTCTAAGCACCATAAACACTATGGCAATGTTTGCAAGAGAACATGCAACATGTAATTTAACATTAAATTTCCTTTTCTTACTTGCTTCTAATGACATTAGCTCATTTGTTAGTGATGTCTTTATCTACTTCTTAAAGTCTCTCACCCGCTGCTTCTATGTCACCTGCTTTTTCTTCCCTTACTTGATTGCCCGATCCTTCCTTTATATCCTTCCCATGTCTCTGTCTATCTTCACTCCTTGCTTATGCTACTTTTATCATACCCATCCTTCTTTCCCAGGTAACTGTGCCCATTTCCTCCCCGTGCTATCGTGCCCATATGATTGTTCACATCCACTCCTCACATATCCAGGTGTTTGAGCCTATCTTTTCCCTGTCTCTTCACATTTTAAGTCTGATTCATTCTTCCATCTATGTTACTGTGCATGTCCTCCTTCTCCCTCCAAATTTCAGCATGATGTCATCTTGCTCCCTGCTGATGTAACTGTGTCTACTTCAGAGGTAGGCAACCTTTGGCACATCAGATGTCATGGACTTAATCTCCCTGATGCTTTTCCAGCTACTTATGCAATTGTAAGAGAATTACGGAAGATGTAGTTCACAACATCTGGAGTGCGAAGGTTGCCTACTTCTTAAACGCAATATATCACAGATTTTTGTACAAAATAGGAAATAATGCTCTAAATTTGCATTTTAGTAAATTATTCAAGATTAATGTAAAGGAGTATTTTCATTAAAGGGACACTATACGCTCCCAAACCACATCAGCTAATTGAATTGGTCTGGTAGCAATGTCCCATCCTTAACCATGAGCATGTAATTATTGCAGTTTTTATAAACTGCAAAAATTACTTACTAGGGTTAACTCCTCCTCTAGTGGCTGTCTACCATGAGAACTTCCAGTGTCACCAGAATCCTTATAGGACAGCATTGATTAATGCTTTCCTATGGGAAACTCTTAATTCAAGCGCAGCAATTGTCTCGCATGCATTAGGTCTCCCTCGTGGATTGACGTTGGCGGTTGAGGAGTGAAGGTGGACCCGAGCCAGTGCTGAGGGACATCGGCGCTGGACCCACATTATTATTATGATGTTATTATTTAAATAGCGCCAACAAATTCCACAGTGCTTTACAGTGGGTGGACGAACAAACATGTAGTTGTAACCAGACAAGTTGGACACACAGGAACAGAGGGGTTGAGGGCCCTGCTCAATGCTAGAGGGAGTGGAGTAAAGTGACACAAAAGTTAAGGATAGTATTAGACTAATGACAGTTGCAAGAAAGGAATCAGTCGGGAGTTATTAACAGTTTAATTAATACGCTTTAATGAAGAAGTGGGTTTTAAATGATTTTTTGAAGGAGTGGAGACTGGGTGAGGATCTAACAGAGGAGGGGAGTGAGTTCCACAGGAACGGTGCAGCCCTCGAGAAGTCCTGAAGGCGAGCATCAGAGGTGGGAGTACAGATAGAAGATAGACGTAAGTCTTCAGCAGAGCGTAAGAGCCTAGACAGGACATATTAGGGAGGATAGATAGGTGGGAGCAGCAAGAACCAGAATTTTAAATTGAGCCCTATATCTTACAGGAAGCCAATGTAGGGACTGACAGAAGGGTTAGGCATGGGAGGTGCGGACGGACAGGAAGATGAGCCTCGCCGCCGCATTCATTTTGGACTGTAACAGCGCAAGTTGGGAGCACGTAAGGCCACTGAGAAGCGGATTACAGTAGTCAAGGCAAGAAAGGACAGTGGAATGGACTAGCACCTTAGTCACACCTGGCATTAAGTAGGACATTTAGCATTGAGAAAGGGCTGCTGCTCAAAACGTTTGCTGTTTTAACTTTGTCCTCAAATAAATTGTGGTAGCACCTGGGTGTGCACACCTGTACTGGATGCGCAGGACTCATGTTTGTTTTTTGGTGGCATTAAGTAGGGTCGGATGCGTGCAATGTTTTTGAGATGGAAGCGGCAGGATTTGGCAATCGACTGAACATGAGGTGTGAAGGAGAGGTTGAAGTCAAAGAGAACACCTAGGCAGCGAGCCTGCATGGTGGAGCTGATGGTAGCACCGTTGACTTGGAGGGAGACAGACACAGGAGTAGCAACACTTGAGGGAGGAAAGACCAGAATTTCAATTTTGGTCAAGCTGATTTTAAGGAATCAACTTGACCAATCCAGTTAGAAATAGCAGAGAAGTAGTGTCTCTGTCAAGAGGGACGTGGAGAGATCAGGAGAGGACAGATAGATTTGTGTGTCATCTGCATAGAAATGATATTGAAAGCCAAAGGGGGTAATGAGTTTACCAAGGGAGTTATTAACCCTTTCTGTACCACGGGGCACTATAGTTGTTTCCCTTTAATTGTGTTGGACTAAAAAACGTCTTGCAATGGTTTTCATAAAAAAAGCAAAATATGATACCTTATTTGTGAGAGTTCCTGTGAAGATAAAATGTAATGCTTTGTTTGTGTCTATCTGTCAAGAAATAAGAAAGATACTCTATAATATAATTCTGAAAATAATTATGTTATCTGCTATTATTGTGAAAGTATATCCACAAACCTCAAATTGCTTGAAATTTAATTCATTTGAATTTAATTTCTATTTTCGGTCTAATATTTTGTATATTTGATTAAAGTAGTGAAACATGCCACATGCTGCACAATTATATATATATATATATATATATATATATATAATGTATATATAATTTCAGACAGAGATCTTGGGCAACACAGTGGTTAATACATTTTAAATAAGACATATTTCATCTTTATTTATTTAATTTCTCACAAGCATTATTTTTACAAAACTGTCCAACCTTGGATAAAAAGAATAGGCTGTGGTTGTCCAGCATTTGCAGCTTATCATTGCTGTTCACCTTCCACAATAACTGAGCATCAGGAGAATGCCCACATTTTGTTCAACTGTGTGGAATCTTTTTGACAGAACACAGGTTACTGCATATAAAGACCCTTTATACCATAATCATTACAATATGTGGTAGTGGTTATAGTGCATAAAATGTCTATTTAATAACATAATATGTCATTACAGAGATAGACAATTGGGTTTCTATATTATTTTTTTACTAATGATTTCAATCTATATGTCTATTTGCAGCATGCAAACATATTAGTTACTTTTTAAATTCTCTTAAAGGACCACTATAGTGCCAGGAAAACAAGTATGTTTTCCTGGCACTATAGTGCCCTGAGGGTGCCCCCACCCTCAGGGACCCCCTTCCGCCCGGCTCTGGAAGGGGAAAAGGGGTTAAAACTTACCTTTTTCCAGCGCTGGGCGGGGAGCTCTCCTCCTCCAATCCTCCTCCGTTCCTCCCCGCCGGCTGAATGCGCACGCGCGGCAGGAGCTGCGCGCGCATTCAGCCGGTCGCATAGGAAAGCAATTTTAATGCTTTCCTATGGACACTTGCGTTGATTTTCACAGTGAGAATCACGCAAGCGCCTCTAGCGGCTGTCAATGAGACAGCCGCTAGAGGCTTTGGGGAAAGGCTTAATCCATTCATAAACATAGCAGTTTCTCTGAAACTACTATGTTTATAAAAAAATGGGTTAACCCTTGCTGGACCTGGCACCCAGACCACTTCATTAAGCTGGAGTGGTCTGGGTGCCTAGAGTGGTCCTTTAATATGTCTGTCATGAAAGCCACATAGGCAGTCATTTTCAAATAGTTTCTATCTAAGTACCATTAGTAACAGTTTTCCAGTGAAGTACTATATTAATATATTTGCTACTGAGTTATTTGTGTTTCAGATAAATATTAACAATTATTTGGAATCACAAATAACTCAGTAGTGAAGAGTTAGCTTTAAAAGTGCCAAACTGGAAATGTATTTTACTAATGGTACTTATCTGTAAAAGCATATTTCATGTGCAGATTTGTTTCTTTGTGGATAAATACCTGCACTGAAGTGGAAAGAAATTTGATTGGGGCTTATTTAGTAATACATAGTTACAGAGTAATACAGGATGGGAAAAAAACATCAAGTTCAATCTTTCAGGCATTTCTGATTCTTCTCTTACAAAGGAACATTTTAAAATTTCCAATTTCCAGTTGTGCCACATATATATTTTTATATCAATTAATATCTGGTTTTCAGATATCCAGGCCTTCAGTATATGATTTAATAACCATTTAGCCACAATTAGCTTGTGGGGGAAGGGGTGCCCTAATGTAAGGGGAGGGGTGTGAAATACCTGAGGGGGCAGAGTGTAGCCCTCTACCTGAGGGGGCAGAATGTAGCACTGCACATTCCCATCTATCTACAAAGCACCTGGGGGTTCATCAAAAGGGAAGAAGACTGACAAGACTCTCTCCTGGTTAAGGTGGAAGGATGACATCACTT